TTTCTTCTCTCTCTTATCTTCTTCACAGTGTCTACTTTTCCTTATTTTTTCCAGTCCTTCTTCTGGAAAGAATCATTGGTAAATCTCTTTGTAATATGAGAAAGGAAATAAAACTTCAGATGATTACCATTTTTACTTACCTATCAATACTTTTACTCATTGTTAGTCAAAGGTTAAACCCATAAATTTGCGTTGCAGCTACTCATCCAACAGTCTTGATTGTTTCCAATCTGTTGCTTCTTCATGTTGTTCATTTCACTTGTTTATTCCTTCAATAATACAAATAAGGGATGATATTAATTCAGCGTCAAATTGAATGGTTAATGTCACTTTACTTTAGGAATACCAACCTTTCTTCTTCCAATTCAGGCTTTCTGTGGTGATCCTACCTTAATTTACATTTACCAGTTACATTATCATTACAAAAGTCAAATAGCAAATAGGAAATTTGGGTTAAACTTACAGGGAAAATCAGCAAGATGGCGTTGTCTTTACATTGAATTTACATTGTAAATAAACTCTACCTTCATTATTCATTATTGTACGAAGTAGACAAAACACCTTTTTGCTAATTATCATTGTTCCTACCTTGGGCGGTTCCTTAAAAGCTTCTACATCACATTAAAATAAGACTAGTGATCAAAGAGGAGCATAAGCAATTAACGTGTTATACTGTTACAGTGAGTACATAAACGGAGTACATAAATATGCATTCACTGTATTTAGTAAAAAGTAGTAACTAGGCAAAAGTTCGGTAAAAGTTCGCCGAACAACTTCCAAGCTCGGTTTACATTTTTTCCTGAGGATTTGTTGCTTAAAAGATAGAAAAAATACGAATCAGGAAATTCGAACTGGTTGAAGTAAGCTTGCAAAATAGTGTGATGAGCTCAGAGTCAAAACTTGTGGCGGAGCAAACATTTTCTAGGCTTACAAGGCTTGTTACAAGACAAAAATGACTGAAAATAATTAAAAAAGCTACTAAAAAGACACAATAAACACAATTATCGCATTGATAAATTGACAAAATACTGAAAGAAAGATGAGCAAAAACGGGTAAAAATTAATTTCTTTCAAATTTATACTCTGTTAGTTTATGAGGAGTCCATTTGTGGCATTTAAGCATCTCTCTGATTCGCAGTTCGCAAAATCGAGGTCAAAGTTGAAACTTGGATCGCTTTTTGTAAAACTACAGACCTTTGTATGCGACCAGATTTTTTCATGTTACTCATTTTCCTGGCGTAAATTTTGGTGACCAACCAGAAAATCAGAATAGTAATTTGGTTCAAATGCATTTATTTCAATTTCACTAATTAAAAACTGAATAATTCATTGCCAAATTTTCATTAACGTCAAGTCCAAATAACCAATCAAGCTGATACTTATAAGCTATAGCAGAAAATTTTAAAGAGAAGGAGTAAAATAATAATTTTCCATTAAATTAATGATGAAAAATGGATATTTTTCAGAAATCCTTACAATCAATATTGCTCATTAATATCAAAAATAATGTTCGTTCATTCGGCATCTCATAATATTAGTAAAACATTGTCACTCAAGCCCAAGATAATCAGATCTTGATGAGATTTTTCACTTGATCAGGTACTCATGATTGATGTTGGCTATGTTCAATGAAACCCTCGATAATTATCGAAACAAAATAGACAATTTATCTGAAGTACAACATAATTTAGTAACATTGTAATAAATCAATCAATTTTATATCGATTACTTGAAGATGATTCAATGAAAAACAATTAGTTGATTTAAAAATGATAAACAGTTGAAAAGCATTTTAGATGAAAAGCAAAAATTGATCGTCAAAAGTTACTGTCAATGTTGCTCATTTTATTCAAACCTCAGTTGCAAGTGACTTTGGATTTGCTTACGATCAAATAGACTAAAATGGTCAATGTAAGAGTCGCTATCTCAACAGACCGACCAATTAGGATCACAAATGACAATAAACTTGAAGGCCCATACGCTTCAAATTATGAAAAATATCTTTATTTTGTTACCAGCAAATCAAACGTCACTTATGTTGAATATGACCAGATATTTGGACATCGATGTTTCCCCAATGGCACCTGTCAAGGTATATTGAATGATCTCCAACAAGGACTTATCGATTTAAGTATGACTCGATTTAGTTATGATTTATTGGGTGTTGTTGGTCCAAATTTGACGACTATTGTACAAGAAGAAGAGCATTGTGATGCAATTTACAAACAAAATGTCACAGAAATACATTCAAATTCAACATTCTTTGAATTTCTAACTCAATTTGATTTGGATGTTTGGTTACCCTTCACAATTATCATCACATTATTTTCCCTCATTTTCCTGATCATCAGCATTCGCCACTCACAACAGTCGATATTCAAGGTAATCTGGCATCACTGCGAATACCTTTTGTACCAAAACTTTGGATCCTTTGAAAATTTACACAAAAAATGGCTTTACATTATTTATATTGTAACTCTGTTGCTCGTCAGTAAATTATTGTCTTCAACCATGCAAACTGGTTTAATAATTTATAAAAGGCCCGTTAAACTGGAAAGTTTTCAGAATATTGTTGAATCAGGATATCGAGTAAGCATGATGCCCCAAGGTACATTTTGTCGTAGCCTTGTTAGATATTCATTGGATCCTCATGCTAAACTGATAAACAAGCGCTTTGAGGCTGAGCTAGCGCAACTTTATGCAGAGCAGGATGGTGATGAAGAGTCCGATGAAAAGTCCGAGGAAGAACAAGAAGAACCCGATGTAAAGGAAAGCCCGACAATTTCAAATCCGCTTTTATTCATTTACTCAGGGTTTACCAGGGATAATCTTGTAACACTGATGGAATCCAACATATATAATTTGTTCAAACGTGCTGGATGTACGTTTGCAGTCGAACAAGAAATGCGTGCTCCACTCATTAACAAGCACATTTCGACAATGTTTACTGGTTATTTGATGAGCAAAAGAAGTTCGCCAAGCGTTAGGAAGTTAATCTTCAATGGATATTATACTTTAAGTAGTATAGAAACATACGCTTCTGGCTCAGAAACCGGAAACGGAAATAGGGGAAAAACTCGTGCGCCCCCTCAGTCACTGACCCCCCTGACAAACACCGTCTTTCAACGGCTATTTTATCCCCTGAGGCACTTCCGCTTGAACACCGTCTTTCAACGACACCGTCTGACATTTCCGGTTGAATACCATCTTTTAACGTCTGTATTTGACCTTGAATTCTTGTTTACGATTCACACCGTCTTTCAACGACAATTTTATATCCTGAGGACAAATACGATTAACATTGTCATTCGATTTCTATTTTCGACATGATTCTTGACTGAAAGAAGGGATACGAACGTTTCCCTTCTTGAAGGCATCAATATACCATCTTTCATTGTCTATGAAGCTTTAGCATAAATACCTCAGGCAATTCAAATTTCTTGTCAAAATGTGAGGACAAATACGATTAACACTGTCTTTCGATGTCTATTTTCGACATGATTCTTGACTGAAAGAAGGGAAACGAATGTTTCCCTTCTTGAAGGCACCATCTTTCATTATCTGTGAAGCTTTTAACGTATTGACTGAAAGAAGAAAAATGAATATTTCCCTACTTGAAAGCATAAGAGCGTTAAATGAATCAATTTGTTGTTTCAACTATCTTTCTAGCTGGTCAAATAAGCTTAAAATCAAAGAATTTCAATTTTCATGATTTCTCATGATATTTCCATGATGAATTCAATCATGATCCTGAAGGGATAATATATGATAGATAAAGTGTTTCTCTATCATTCGAGACCAATCACACCTAATTCCAGATATTATTTCAGGTCCAGATTCAGTTTTGTATTTTTAAGGTAAATTACATTGCAAAAAACCGGTTCAGAATTCAGAATTCATGAGATAATTGATTTTTATCGTTTTTTCTTTTTGATTACAATCAAGCACTGTAAGTGAATCAATTTGATACTTGAATCATCTTTTTATCATTTGGAATAAGCTTAGAATTGACAAAAAACCAATTTCTGAATTTCCCATGGTAATTTCATGCAGCATGTAGATAAGTTAACCAGGGGATAGACTATGGTAGATTAACTATTGTCCCATCAAACAAAACATGTTTGAAATGAATTTCTACGGATTCAAGTCTCCAGATTTTCGATATTCCATAATTCAGTATATGAAAACAATAAAGTGTATTATAAGCAATAATGAGCTATTGGAACCGGTTAAGAATTAATATCTTATTTTTCCTGCAGCAAAATTAATCTTGTTAATGGATTTGCACTTTTCACTGTGAATGAATCAATTTGATGGTGTAACTATCTTTCTTGCTGATCAAATAAGCTTAAAATTAAAGAATTTCAATTTTCATGATTTCTCATGGTATTTCCATGATGAATTCAATTATGATTTTGAAGGGATAATATATGATAGATAAAGTGTTTCTCTATCATTCGAGACCAATCACACCTAATTTCAGATATTATTTCAGGTCCAGATTCAGTTTTGTATTTTTAAGGTAAATTACATTGCAAAAAACCGGTTCAGAATTCAGAATTCATGAGATAATTGATTTTTATCGTTTTTTCTTTTTGATTACAATCAAGCACTGTAAGTGAATCAATTTGATACTTGAATCATCTTTTTATCATTTGGAATAAGCTTAGAATTGACAAAAAACCAATTTCTGAATTTCCCATGGTAATTTCATGCAGCATGTAGATAAGTTTACCAGGGGATAGACTATGGTAGATTAACTATTGTCCCATCAAACAAAACATGTTTGAAACCTTACATCGAGTTTTGTACAAGAAAAAGACAACAAGCTAAAACACCATTTGTTTCTTCATTATATAAATTATTTGTAAACAGCATGTATAAAAGTTTTAAGGCTGCGAATACAAGTTAGAGAGAATACATTGAAAAGCATAATTGAAAAGCATAATTGATTGATTATAAAAAGAAAAGTAAAAATTGGATCATAAAAAGACAGTATAAAATGTTATGAAAAATAAGAATTTAAATCTTGGAAAAAGACAGAATTATTTCTTGTTTCTTTGACTTTTTCGTACAAGTTTTGGTTTGTTGAATTCTTTGTCCCATTCCGCTTGTATATTAGGTGGAACATCAAAATCACCATTCGGTTTTACCAAAGAATCATCCTGACAATAAACCCAGGCCCAAACTTTCTTTTTAACGGGATGATTTTGATTAAGTTTTACCGGACATTTTAATCTCTCATATCCAGTCACTTTGTCTCGCGCAAATCTTTGAGGACAGGACACCACTCTATACCTATTTTTACCGTTTCCTTCTCTTACGACACCAAAGAGATGTTCCTTTAATCCTTTCAAAGCATTGAAGGTACCATTGCAATAATCACATTGGAATACAATTGGATGTTTTTTAACTTCTTCAATAGCAGCTGCTTCCGCCTCCTCATAACACTCTGCATCTTCGACCACCTCTTCTTTTGTTAGTTGTGGGTATTGATCTAGATCACCCATATCATGCATTGATTCCGGTGTACAAAACATTTTTCCCCATTTGAATTTGATTAATGCGTTACCAGTATTACTAACCCAAACACCAATGATTTTTTTCACTTTCCATAAAGATTTAGTGCAACCTACTCTACAAAATACTGGACCTTTTGGTGTAGACTCTAAAGGGAAATACATCTATCAAAAACCAGTTTTGCAAGTTTAAAAGAAACTTACTTTGAAATTGAAGAAGTCCGAGATGACGGATTCTTCCAGTTGAAGTCGAAGGTGTTGATTCATTGTCTATTGCAGATTGCTCATTACCTTGTCCACCATCCTGTTCATCCTCCTGTCCACCTTCCTGGTCATTCATTTCCTGGTCATTTTCCTCATTCGTCGTTCGTTCATCAATTTGGAGTTGATTAGAAGTTGTTGATGAGGCTGGTGATGCTGCCACTTCATTTTCACCTCCTGGGTAAACACAATAATCCGATGGTTAAAAACAATAATCCATTGATAAAATATACACAAAACTTACCTGACAACATTAACACAAGAAATAAAGCAATTAAACAATTCATTTTGTTGATTAAAGATGAAGAAATCAATCACAATTTGATCTATTTAACACGTCAGAACGATGTCTATGTCTATACAAACAGCTGATTTATCGTTGCTGTGCAACAATGTATACATGCGCAGTAAATATCTTTGAGCGGTCAATTTAAAACGATAAGCTTTTCATAAATAGGTAAAATTATGTTGCTTTTTCATCATAAATAGGCAAAATTATCTAATTTTTCAAACATCAATAAGTAAAATCATGTTGCCTTTCCGTTGCCATTTCTCGCTTGAGTGATTCAATGTTTCAAGACAATTCACATGCTTGAGTGATTCAATGTTTCAATCTTATTCCATGCTTGAGTGATTCAATGTTTCAATCTTATTCCATGCTTGAGTGATTCAATGTTACAATTTTGCAAATAGCCAAAAGGCTTCCTCCAATGATTTGCGATGACCAAACTTTATACATGAGCGATTTCCGTTGTTAATTTCTGAGCAAATAAATACCACGGAGAAATGTAAGAACGATCTCACTCGAAAATTTGCTTTCATTGATTAAACATTATTTTGTGAAGTCGCAAAGTTTTAATACATTTGTGAAAATGGACAACCTCACTAATGCTCTCAATGCAATGGCCCTTGATAAAACAATGGACTCTTGTGAAATGGAAATTGTTCCATCAATTCGCGAGGAGCCAATAAAAGATACCGAAATGAAAGTAAGTAATTTAAATTTGTCCTAAAATTTAATTTTACTAAGAACAGTTTTTTCTTCAACTTACAGGAGGTGAATACCATTTTAAATCTATCTCCTTTTGAAATGTCAGAAATCAACGAAGCGATTGATGAGATTAACAGAGTCAACTATCAAGCCGATCGGAGAAAAGCTCCAAATGCCCTGAGAAACGCACTGCGGCTTCGGTTGAGAAACAAAGCTTTCGCATACATGGATTCTGTTGTTAAATTAAAACAAGAGAGAAAAAAACTCAAAAAGATTGGTTCTAAAGATTCAAAAATGCTTGTTAAACTCATCGATTTGCACTTGGGGATAGTCCAGAGAACAATCAAAAGATATTATTCAATTATCCACATTTAATTTGATTGCAATAATTTTGAATACTCAATTATCCACATTTAATTTGATTTACTAAATTTATGAACAATAAAGTTTCATTTTGCATTGAAAATTTGACTGATTTTTTATTAATACGCGTTCTTTTCTATTTTAGATGATTTGTGCTTGTTGCGGACAAGCTTATAAGACGTTGGGTGATTTAGCCATTCACAATTGTAACTGTAGATACCCGACTTGTAAAATGTTTGATACTTTCGACGAGCCACCAGCAAAAAAAGACTGCTTAAGATGTCCGTGTTGTGGAAAAGAAGCAGAGCCATTATCGGAATATTTGATCCATCAATGCACCTGCACAAATAACTGCAAAAGACTTGAAATCTTTTTTGACAAAGAACCTGTGATTCAGGATGCTCCATGTGTCAAGGCTAAGGCATCAGCACCTAAAATGAAAATAAAATGTGCAAAATGTAAAAAAAGCTATGTGAATGAAGCGCGTTATCGAGCACATCAAAGAACATGTTCCGCTCTATCCATCCTAGATTTACCTTCACCATCCTTTAAAAGTGATTATAAACTTATTGAGGCTGCATTCCATCGGAAATTTCGCGTATATTCTAACGAAATGACTGATATGGTAGATATTGATATTGTGAAGCGACATCAAAAATCCCGCATCAAAGACCTACTGAAAATTAATCTTGATGACATTGGACCAATAAAATTTTATATCATTGTTAAAGTTTATTTCCATAAGATGAACATGCTTGAACTCATATCAGCTGACATTCCTTCAACAATGAAACCATTATTACCAGGAGATAATATTAATCATGAACTTGATGAGTGCTTCACCGAAATCAAAGAAATCATTGATCAATATACAGAAAGAGGAAGTGGTTTCACTATAGTTGACATCAGTAAAATTGATGTACTTATTGCTCGTTATCAACCTCATAGAGGTGGATGTCACCGATATAAATTACCCCAAGAACTTCAGGAAAAGAAATGTTTATTGACGTTGGATTGTGACACTGATTGTTTTATGTACTGTGTTCTCGCTGGAGTATACATGAAAAGTGATAATAGGGGAAGACATCATCGATACGACACATACATATATAATCATGACTTTTCAAACTGTCGCGGTGAAGTACCGCTTGATAAAATAAAGAAATTCGAAAAAAACAACACCATTTCTGTAAGTGTTTTCACTTACAATTCAACAGGGAAATTTGTTATTCCCCTTTACGTCACCAAAAATGAAAAACAATTTCATGTGCGACTTTTTTTATTAAATGAACATTATTACCTCATCACTAACTTTGCAAGACTACTCAATAGTCGGAGTAATTATCGGCGATATCATTGTGAGAACTGCTTGCATGGTTGGCATCATAAACATCAATTAGAGAAACATTTATTAGATTGTTCATTGAAAGAACCACAAAAAATCACAATGCCCTGGCCAACAACGAGCAAACCAAGAAGAAACTTTTGTGAAAGATCAAACTTAAAAAAGGAAGTCAAACATCCAATCATCATTTATTGTGATTTTGAATGTTTAAGTGTTCCAACGAATGATCCCCTCAAACCCTTCAATCATGTACCATGCAGTTACGGATATGTTGTAATTGATTGGAATCGAAAGATCATTGACAAAAAATTCGAGCATGGTGAAAATATAGTTGAAAAATTCTATCAAAACCTGAAACAATCCATAATTGAATCATTGGATTATTTGAAGGCTTCAATAAAGCTTCTGAGAATGACTGCTCAAGATGAACTCAACTTTCAAATGTCAACAATATGTTGGATTTGTGAAAAACCTCTGGGCGATGATAAAGTGAGAGATCATGATCACCTAAGTGGTAAATTCCGTGGAGCAGCACATAATAATTGTAATGTGAATTATTCAATACCACAAAGAATTCCAATATTTTTTCATAATCTTAAAAATTACGACGGTCATCTTTTAATTGATGCAATTAAAAATGAGACATTCTCAAGTGAAATGAAAATAATTCCCTCATCAATGGAACGATACATTGGATGGTACGTTGAAAATCTTGCTTTTCTTGATTCTTTCGCATTCTTACCAGGCAGTCTGGATACATTAAGTTCTAATCTGACTGACCAGGAAAAAGAAGAATTTCTCCGTCAAGAATGGCCGACAGAAAACTTGACCGACTTAATGGGAAAAGCAATGATACCATATGAGTATTTAACAAGTTTGGATAAATTCAAAGACCAAACTTTACCTCCAATGACTGCCTTTTATTCATCATTGAATGAGACAAATATTACAAGAGACATGTATGACCGTCTTCAACGAATTTGGAATCAATTCAAGTGTAAAAATCTCGGTGAATTGATTGACATTTATTTAAAACTGGATGTTATAATGCTTGCTGCTGTTTATGAGAACTTTAGACAAACAAGCATTGAAGATTTCGACATTGATCCTCCACATTATATGTCATGCCCTGGTCTCGCCAATGCTGCTGCTTTGAAAATGACTAAGGAATCAGTTGAATTATTCCTTGAGATTGACATGTTTTTAATGATTGAAGGTAACATACGAGGTGGATTCACAACTGTTGCAAAACGACATGCAATTGCAAAGAATTCATCAACTGGTTATGAAGGCAATGACCAAACATGGCTCATGTACTTTGACGTGAATAACTTATATGGAAATGCCATGATGGATATGCTACCAGTTGGAAATTTTAAATGGGTCAACTTTTCAAATGAAAAAAGATTATTGGAGCATATTATGAACATTCCAGATGATTCGGATACTGGATATATTCTTGAAATTGATCTTGAATATCCAAAGGAGCTTCATGACTCTCATAATGATTTCCCCCTTGCGCCTCATAGAATGAAAATAACACGTGACATGCTTAGTCCATATGCTGAAAAATTATGCACTGAACTTGAAAAACAAGGATTAAAACCAGTAGCAACAAGTAAACTTGTTTCAACGTTCTTAACCAGAGAAAGATATCCCATGGTAATTTCATGCAGCATGTAGATAAGTTTACCAGGGGATAGACTATGGTAGATTAACTATTGTCCCATCAAACAAAACATGTTTGAAACCTTACATCGAGTTTTGTACAAGAAAAAGACAACAAGCTAAAACACCATTTGTTTCTTCATTATATAAATTATTTGTAAACAGCATTTATGGAAAATTGATGGAGGATAAAAGGAAGCATATTGAAGTCAAACTTGCAAGAAATGAAAGAGTGGCTGTTAAAAGGATTGCCAATCCTCTTGCTAGCAGGTTCAAGATTCTTGATGAAGAAAAAATGCTAATTCAATCAAAACCAGAACGTGTTATAATGGATAAACCAATTATTAATGGTTTTACTGTACTGGAACTTTCAAAACTTCATGTTTATAAGCTTTATTATGGCCGATTTAAAAAATTTTACAATGACAATGTTCAACTCGTCTATTCTGATACTGACTCATTTTTATTGGAAATAAAAACAAACAACATTATTGAGGATATGAAGCAATTTTCTGACATTATGGACTTTGGTGACTTACCTCAAAATCATCCTCTTTATTCATCATTAAATAAAAAAAAGATTGGATGTTTAAAAGATGAAATGGCGGGAGAAGTGATCAAGGAAGTAATTGCTATCAAGCCGAAATTATATTGCATTAAATCGAACAGTGGAGAAAAAAAACGTGCTAAAGGAGTTCAGAGACATGTTGTTAAAAACAAAATCAATTTTAATGATTATAAAAACTGTTTATACAATGAATGTATTCATAAAGAGGTAACCAAAAGATTTGGCTCTGATGAACATAAAATATCTATGTATTCGAATGAAAAAATTGCCATTTCTCCATTTGAAGATAAACGTTATCTCTTGGATGATAAAATCAATTCTTATGCTTATGGGCATTATAAAATTAATCAATAAAATTTTTTATTAATTGTAATAATTTGCGCTCATTTTTTAAAGTTTTACATTTTTCAAAAAGATTATAAAATTTGTTTGGACTTTTAGCTAATAGTACAAATATTATACAAAAATAACCACATGATGATGAATAGTCATCTTGATATTTATTCTTTGAGTAAGTATATCCTCTCGGTGCAAATCTTTCAATGAAAGTTAATATATTTCCGTCGGGCGCTCTTCCATAAGAATCGAAATAATTTGCAGTCCCAAAAATATCAAAATTTATAGCAACCCAATGTGATCCTTCTTTATAACTTGGATCTAGATTTATTATGTATGATTGAGGCTTCTTCAATACTAGAGGTAATTGATCTATCGCGTAAACACCTCCAAAGTGTTTAACATTACGAAGAATTCTTTTTATATCAAGTGTGGTCAACATTAGTAATCGAGTGTAACGATTCGATCTTTATCAATTGTAATCAGATTATCGAATTGACCGAAAACAATGATCTTATATGAACTTGTTGTTTCTGATGCGAATCGTAGCTCTAATCTAACAGCTCCTCTTTTAATTAACGATAAAGATCCTGTTTCACCACCTAATCCGCCTCCTAAATCAAATCCGAAAAGAGTTTTTGATGCTTTGTAGGTTTCAAAATCTAAATCAAGTTGTGGGATTCCTTCATCTTGTCCCAAACATCTGAATAAATTTACATATTCACGCATACAATTATCAGGAAATTTTGGTTGGTATGGTATTGAAGGATGTAAGTTTCCGTCAACATTTAAAGAAATCTGTGTTATATTTCCATGTTCAAACCAAAAGGGATCTTTATAATTATTACCCGCAAAAGTTGCTTCATCAACAAGTCCAATGATTACTCTTCTTGGTAAAATCCCTGAAAAAATGTTTTCAATATTGACGGTTGACATGCCTTTATTCAGAGAAAAGCTTTTAACAACATTTCTGACAATAAAATATTTCGCAGGAGACTCTTTAAGTGCTGATATTATCCCCGTTTGTGTATCTGGAAATAGTTTTACACGCTTAATATGTAATGCTAAGTGAGTTAGTTTTATTTTATATTCATCTTGAGTTATGTGTATCAATGGGAATTTCTCTCTGCTTCTTGTAAATCTGAATAATAAAGGAGTACCATTCAACAGTAATTTGTCTTGTTGACACATTGGAAGATGTAATCTGAAATATAAATCAATGTTATTTTTAAGATGAACTGAAGAATCATAACGTCCAGCATCAGCTTTTGTTGGATGACGGAACAATAAATCTTCAATGAAAGATTGATAATGGTACATATTTGTAGCTTGTGATGTATTAACAGTCCCAATAAAAAAATCAACTTGATCAAATAAAGCATTAGCAAAGTTTTGCGCGCCTTTTATAACATTAGTTGTAACTTTTGCTCCGTCCTTATCGAGAATCTCGAGATTTATATGGACCATTGTTTGGGATAAATCAGTAAAGTCTTCAGATGCAGGTACATCAATGGTGTGAACTTTTGAGCTTTCTAAAGACGCTGAAGGTCTATACTCTACTTCATAAGTAGAATCAATAGCCACTTGGGTAGGTGGCACAGTGAATAATGATAATTCACTTTTACTTGAAGGTAAAGATGCTGGATGTAAATATTCCATTTTTAATCGAAAATATCTTTCTTTTTTCTTTTAACTGATTTTTTCTTCTTCTTATACAACCGTTTTCGTTTAACTCCAGTTCCACTTTGATTTAGCATAACATTTGCTTTATCAATTGATTGTTTTGCTAGATTACGTAGACTTTCTTTTCCTCTTTCTTTCAATGTTTGTTTCAAGTTTTTATTTTCCAGTAAATCTTGACCAACATTGACTCCTGTTCTTACTGCTTGTTTTCCAAGAAACTTCAAAACAGGTATAGCAAATCTTTTAAATAGACTTCCAAATCCATATCCTCTCTGGTAAGGAGAACCTCTGAATATTTCAATATCAGAGAAACCTTGTCCAGCTTGAGATAAATAATATGATTTGAAATCTGAATGTCTTGGACAATATATTTTACGTTGCATTTTTGTTTCTTCTTTTTTCTTTCCGATTAAATACATCTTATACAAAGCGTTTCAAATGTAAACCAATTGCAACCCTTCCTGAAGCGAATTTGATTGGATTTCCTGTTTCATCTGTCAAAATGAAATTAACATCCTCAATTTGGTTTGTCCTCACGGGATAATAAAAAGGCTTTACAAATCTTTCATGGACAATTTCATGTCTTTGACCTCTTTTTAGAGGTAAAATTCTTAATACTCTTGTTAATTTATCACCAACAAAATGTGGAGCAACAATATCTGAATAAACAAACATTAAACTTGATCTTGCATTTAAATCGGCCGGCCTGGACGCAGTTACTTTTGGATTAGTTATTAAACTTTCAGAAGGATCATCAATGAAACCAAGAGCTCTAATAAAATCAGCATCTTTGAATTTAGGAATCAGCTTCATGTTTCCAATCCACCCTCTTATAATTGATATTATTCCTTTTGAATATTCTAATCTTGGTGGTTTATCACTAGTTGATTCATTTGTTGTATTTTCAGCTTGAAGACCGAGTTCTGATTTCAATTTGTTAATCTCTCTTGTGTATTCTTCTTTTGTTACATTTAACTTTGTCTCAGAATCACTAAGTGCTTTTTTAACTTTTATCAATTCATCCATTAAACTGTTTACTTCAATTTGTTTATCTCTGATTTTCTGATCTTTTCCTCTGATATCGTTTTCTAACGCATCAATTTGCGATTTCTTTTCATCCAAATCAGCAACTTTAATGTTACAATCATTTAAATTTTTTTGCGTTTCTTTAATTCTTCGTTCAAGTCCTTCTTTTTCAGTTTTTAATGAATCATAGTTTCTTTGTATTTCTTTTAAATTAGAAATTTCTTGATTTTTATCATTGACATTTTTTTCAGCGTCTCTCAATTTTTCATCAAGTTTAACTTTTTCATTTGAAAGTTCATTAAATTTTCTTTGTAAGTCATCAAATTCATTTTTTTGTGTGTCAGCATTCGAACCAGCCGTTGTGAGACGATCTATTTGCTCCTTTTTAGCATTTATTTCCCTTTCTGCATCTTTCAATTTTTGATCGATTCCCGTTTTTTCAGTCTGCAAATCATCATATTTCCTTTTTACTTCAGCAAGTTGTGTTTCAAGAGGAGTTACTTTGTTCGCTTCTGTTGTTAGACGTGTGATTTCGTCTTTCTTAGACTTTAAATCATTTTCAGCCGTATTCAACTTTGTCGTGAGTTCTGTCTTTTCCCTTTCTAAAGCTTGTTTTTCTCTCGAAAGATCGTCTCGAGCTTTGTTTAATTGTGTTTTCTCAGTTTCGAATTTTTGTATTGCTTTATTCAATTCTTTAATCTCTTCGACTTTCGTATTGAGTGCGCTTTCAGTTGCTGTGAACTTATTAAACAACTCATTTATTTCACTTTGTTTTGATTCAAGTTTTTCATTTTTCCTCCTAAGTTCTTGATTTTTTTCAGACAATTCCCGTCGTTTTTCATTAAATTGTCTGAACCAGTTTGCAACTTCTGGGTCTTTCCTTGCTCTTTTAGGAGGAGGAGGTGCACGACCTGAACTAGTATATAGTTCTTCCAATTTTCTATCTTTTGCTTCATCTGTCAAATCAGGATTTTTCATTATATCCTTTTCTTCAGATAAGAGCTCTTCTAGAGACATTCGAGATTTTCCTGCTCTTGCAAATAGTTTATCTATCAATTCTTCTTTTTTCTCATCATCATAGGCAGGATTAGTTCTTATTAAATGACTTTCAATTTTAAGCCTACTCTCATCAATAGGCAATTCTTTAGGGTTTCGTACTTTTTTATGATAATTATAAAAATTATTCAGAATTGTCTCCTTTGCGAAAATGTCAAGTGCTTGATTGTTCACTATGTTATCTTCTATAGCTTTGAATCCCTCTGGTGATAGTAATTGTTCAGTTTGTGGAGCTTGATCACTTTGCATCCCTTGTGGTGGTTGATTTTTTTTTTTCAAATTATCAAATATTTTTGATGCTTTTACGTTGAATTTATTAACAAATTTTTGTACATCATCCGCTTCATTTATAGGTATAAAATAGGATAATTCTTCAGCACCTAATATCTTAAAGTACACGTCACTTTCACTTTGTGTCAGATCTATTGGATAAAATATTTCTTGAATTCCTACAACCCAATCTCCATCAAGAGATATGGCATGTTGTAGACGATTCGTAAATTTTGTTAATGTGTTTTCAGGAAACAAATTTGTTGAAGCATTAGAAACGGCCTCAATATAATATTCATCAGGTTGGTAAAACATCTTCGACCCAGCTATTAAATTTCGATGGATATCCGAACCACTTTACAAAATATTCCTTCTTTTTTGTTTTTGGATTTATTCTTGTTTTTATAATTTTCTCTACCTTATATAAACTTGTTTCATTAGCTTTTACGAGTTCATAATGATAAAAAATTGATGTGATATCTTCGCCTTCATAATCTTTCAACCGATAAACGTATCCTTGAGGTGTTTTTTTCACTTTATTTATCGTGAAAATTTCTTCACTAAAGTTACTAGTTGCTCCTTTTTCGAAAATTCCTTTAGCTCTTGCAATTCTCACTTTATCATCAACTTTAAATGGTTTTTGTTTTGAATGATTAACAGGATGAGTTTTTCTTATATTTAATAAAACTTGAGTTGAGTTTTCCTGAGTGACTTGACTTGGTGACATTTGTATAGTACGGTGATAAGAATTATTGTATGATTTTACAATTTTTTGTAAATCATCAATATATCTTCTGGTATTGTAATAATGTAGATAACGATAAATCCTTGTTCTGAGCGTTCGATTGAACCTCTCAACAATTGCACATTTAATAACATCATCAGTAGAAGTGAAAAAATTTATTCCATTATTTGCAAATAATTGCTTAACTTGGGAATTCAAAAATTCTTTTCCTTGGTCACTTTGTATTTTTTCAGGCTTTCTCTCTTGCAATAAAATTTTAAATGCTTCAACGATTTCATTTGCATTTTTTGTTTTCAATGGAAACACCCAAGCGTAACGACTGAAACAATCGATTATATTTAATAAATATTTTTTATCGTCATTGAATTTTGATAACCACGACATATCCATCAAATCAATTTGCCATTGTTCATCAATTTTATTGACTAAAATTGGAAGGCGAGGGAATTTTCTTTTAACTTGTCTGAATAAAACATAAGTATCTTGATCTTTTAACCAATCTTCAACTTGTTTCAAAGACGCTTCCTTTTGGACGGTCTCGTATAATCTTCTGACTCCTCCGAAGCTTCCGGTACTATCTGGCGTGACGTACTTGCTTCGGATTGTTGCTGTAATTGTTGCCATGTATCTTGATTTTGAATTCCTGGGTTAGTTATAAAATTTAATAAACTTGGTTTGTTTTGTCTTATAGCAGCAACGACTAGATCAAGGCCGTTTGGTTTTCTAGTAATTTGATTATCTAATAGATAATTAACGATAAGCAGTAAATTGCTCCTAAAAACAGTTGTCCCATCAGGTTTTATGACTTGGCCTCTTCCATTTATCAAACCGGGAATACTTCTTATTCCAAGTGTTAACGCTTCTCCAATATCTGGTTGAAAAGGTTGCATTTTACTCTTTCTTGGTGAAATTGGTGGTGGTGTGTCTACGTCTGTTTCAAGCTTTGGTGACTCCGTAGCAAAAGATTTCATGAGATTTGTTCTTGAAGAAGATGATTCACTCACTGGTGTTGTTTGTTGTGATGTTTGTTGTGAGGCAGGAGTTGCAAATTCACTTCTAGGTGTAGAAAAAATACTTTCTTCTAGATTATCAGGTTCTTCTGATTGAATACCGAGTTCGACTGTTTTGGTCTGTATTTTATCAATCAATCTCGCCTTTTGTTCTGCTGTTAAGTTCGAATTGATTATTGCTTTCAGATTAATTTGCTCAGGCTTCTTGTCCATTTTCTTCAACATTAAATTGTTTAGTAATCGAATTTTCCTATCGTTTGGAATTTTCGATTCAAGAAGTAGATTTGTTGGATCTTTATATTGATCCTCGGGTATTAATAACATTCGTGTCACTGTATTCATTGTTTCATTATTTTTGATGCAACAACAGATGCTAATAATGTTAAAGCTGGTTTCAATAATAAGGGTAAAAATCCTCCTTTTTGGATCAAAACTTTTTTGATTTTCACACTATTTTTATGTTTTGCGATTTTCCGTAGATCATTCTTATATAGCTTCAATGCTTTTAATTTTTTCTTTGGTACTTTAATAACACCTTTCAATATGTTTTTTGCGATTTCTGATAAAACATGAAAAACTTTACACGGACAAGAAGATAAAATAATTTTTCTTTGATTCTTCTTCTTTGTCTTTGCAAGTTTTTTTAAAGTTGGATAAACCTCAATTGCTTGTTTGACGCTCATTTTTAGTTTAACTTTTGAAATCGATTCACTTATACAAGTTGATAAGCAATTATTGGTATTGAAAAAATATTTGTTAATAGTCTAACTTCACTTGCTGTTTCAGGTTTTAAATCAATAAATAAATATGAATAAGGCTGTGAAGTAGCATGTTCAAAGACCTTTTGAAATTTTTTAATTTTCGTTGGAAACATTTGTCTTGCTAATGATGTCGCTATTGATTGATCTCTTGGGTTTTTAAATAGCACAATATATTGTGAATTCAAAGAAATATTTCTGCTCTCATGTCCTCTCATAAATAGGTTTTGACAAATTAAAATTACAGATACATTTCTATGATGACTACCTTTCGTAAACATTTCAGAAATGTATTTTGAATTTGATGCTTCATACATTAAATCATCGATTATAATCCAAGTTGGTCTTTTATCGAGCTTAATTTCATCAGGTAAACCTTTGATGAATTCAACTTGCTGCAAGGAATCGAAAATTTCTTGGTATTCGCTATAAAAATAAATTATTCTTTCTGGTATCGGATCACAAATCAGTTCTCTTTTAACAATCAGTTTTCTAACAAATTCAGTTTTTCCACTTCCTGTTGGACCCGCAATGAGCATAGTAAAAGGATGACGTAAATAAATTTTATAAGACATTTTTTAGTTTTCAAATTAAATAAGTCATACTTATATAATTTATTACAATATTATTATTTGAATACAATATTATTATTTGATTACAATTTTCATTATTTGATTACAATTTTCGGTAAATTTGCTTTATCCTGCGTTTCCAGGCATATTACCACAAACATCCTGTCCTCGTTGCTGTATTTGATAAGCTGGGCCTTTCTCAACCCATTTTTTCATTCCAATCACCGCATTAAGGCTGCATTTCCCGATCTTTTTATGAAGCGCACATGGTTCCAACCTTGGCAGCATATTACTCCAGGTTGCACCAAGCTTTCCAATATTTAGTCTGGGAATTCCAAGGGACTTGAGAATTTCCTCTGCCTCTTTTGATCTGCAAGCGATAAGGAAGTGGTCATCATCAATGTTCATATCATAGAACGTACTGATAAGTCCATCAATTTTGTTCAATTCGGTTCCCGTCTTTACTTGAAATGGCAAACCGTGATGATGATTTGTCAGGTATGTTGCTTGTCTCTGATCACTAGCTGATAGTTGCTCCAACTTCAAGCCATGATCAACACTGAAGACAGTTGCACCTGCTTCACTTAGTACAGCAATTTCACGAGGGTAAAATTTGTTATTATGGTAGAAGCCTTGAGTATCGAAATAACAGCAAATGTAATCCATGATTGTGTTTGAAGATCAGTTGCGTCTCTATTTATACTCTACGATACTCTTCATCAAAAGAGTGAGAGATCGAAGGAGCGGAGGATAATCTGCATAGAGAGAGCGCAAATTTTTCAAAAATTCTCCGTTGATCCGTAACATGAAATCGTTTCGTGTACAAGGACCACCGGGTACAATCATTTCACCGAAATTGTTCATATAGAGGTCAAAAATCTTGACGCAATTTGTTTTCAAAAATTTAACACTTTCCACAGGAAGTTTGTTCCCGGTAATTATTTCTTCTTCTTTGAATGGTTCATCAATACTTCTGATTTCACTTTTGACTAAAGTTGAAAAGATGAAAGCATCTTCGATGCCTCGACCTCCAACCATACATGCAACGAATTCTTCAGGTCTTAGTAAACTAAGAATGAAGATTACGCCGCAAAGATACATCTCGAGTAAGGGTAAATCCTTGTTTTGTACGCATAGACGATGCTTACGTTTGAGGAGCATGATTCCTCCAGTTGTTGATTCAATGGTCAATTCATCAACAACCTTCTGGGATGGAGCGTTGCCTTTCAAGACCTCTTGGATAAAAGTACCGAGTTGAATCAGTTCCCAACGTTTGAAGTTCACTCCATAACTCGTTGGATAGTCATTCACAAATAAACGCAAGTCAGCTCGACCACAGCAAACTTTGTTGTTACCATCCGTTGCCCATGAAATGGTTAATCGGAGGTCGTTAATTTTAATAGCTTTCAATGAATGCCAGTTTAATGTTGACATTGTGAAATAATAAAATTCAATGATCAATTTGCTTTTGCTCATCTCTTTTTATACTTGTCACCTCTCTGAATTCTTTGTATGCTTGATGAAGATCTCTATGTGATCTACCTCCGGTAATTATCAACTTACCTGAGGCATAATAAACAACACAGAGCTTGTTTTTCTTCCAAAGATGGGCAGGATAAATTTCAGGCTCATAGCTTAAGACAGATAAATCAATTTTGTCACGGATGGTTGCAACTGCAGTCATATTAATGATTTTAATGAACTTTGCACTTGGATAAGTTGAATTAACGAACCGTTTAGATTCATAGAAAGATTTGAAACCGGTAGCAATTATCTTTCCAGATTCAAATAACAATAAACAGTTACTTCCATCTTTAATGACATCGGCATTAAACTTCTTCAGTCTTTTTAATAAACGAACTTTTTTCCCAAGGTCCCAAAGTGAAACGACATTAACTATTTGCATAATTTATCATGAAAAATTCTTTAAACAATAAAATAATTAGTAGAGCAATTATTAATGTTGCTAGATAAAGGATTTCATACATTTTGACAAGAAATTTGAATTGCCTGAGGTATTTATGCTAAAGCTTCATAGACAATGAAAGATGATATATTGATGCCTTCAAGAAGGGAAACGTTCGTTTCCCTTCTTTCAGTCAAAATTCATGTCGAAAATAGACATTAAAAGATGATGTTGTGACAAGCCTTAGGGTATGAAAATGTCGTTGAAAGATGGTGTGAATCGTAAACAAGAATTCAAGGTCAAATACAGACGTTAAAAGATGGTATTCAACCGGAAATGTCAGACGGTGTCGTTGAAAGACGGTGTTCAAGCGGAAGTGCCTCAGGGGATAAAATAGCCGTTGAAAGACGGTGTTTGTCAGGGGGGTCAGTGACTGAGGGGGCGCACGAGTTTTTCCCCTATTTCCGTTTCCGGTTTCTGAGCCAGAAGCGTATGTTTCTATACTACTTCTGAATGTGAAGTGAAAAAGTTTTAACAGACAAGCTTAGTAGCAGTAGTTTACACGCTTGGAGCACTGATGCATCTACATCAGCATCTTGTATGGATAAAGATGAATCGCCAAATGATGAATCCCTAACCGTTCCTTTGAATTTTCAATTTTTTCGTATTCCGTTTATCATTTTTATTTCTCAAGTTACAATCTCAATTATAGTCTTTCTGTTGCAATTTGCCTTCTAATGTTCCAAGCCATACACTACACAACATGAAAATAATGAATCAAGTGTAACATCTAAATACCAAAAATTTGAACGCAATGTTGCTGCGATTTTCTTTTGGTGATAATTCTACAGAATAATGTTAAAAGATGTTTCATTGGCAATTTTGTTCGCAAGTTTTTCAAATACAAAGTTAACAATACAAGTAAATCACTTTTCATTTTTGAAAGTTTGTTTAGCAAACTTATTAATACCTTTCTGCATTTTATTAGCACACACGCTGTATTGATATTTAATGTGTTGCGCGAAACCTGTTCGATGAGCAACTTTAGCCTCGCAAGTTTCGAAAATAAATAATAATAATAAATAAAACACTTTGCACATGAGTGCACATTAACTTTATCTTCAGACTTTTTGTCAACATAATTACAATTTCCATTGTGAATAGTGCAAGAATACAGATGATATTAACCTTACCTCAAACAAGTCTAAAGTTTCTGATTGCTGAAAATTTAACGCTCAAAACTTTCTGTTTGAGTCATTTGATTTGTGCAGATATTTGAAAAAACTAAATCATTTTGGGAATTATAATTTTCATTCGAGTTGAAAACTCCTAATAAATTATCCTGTTTGTTAACAGGTACTACAGCTAAACAATTTTGTTCATTTTGATGATCCGCATCACTTGCAAAAATGACTACTTTTCTTGTTAAATTGTCGATAGATCTGTTTATCGGAGAAGCTATAACTGTTTTACTATAGCTATAACTATAACGTTTTTCATATAATCTTGAAATTTATTTTATTAAGCACATAATAAAATCTAATGTTTGGTCAAAGAATGGTGGTTTTAGGTGATGCCATTCTCGAAATATCGAGATTCAAAGTTTTTAGGTTAATGGCCATAAACAAGAGAGCTGTTGATGAATTACAAAAAGTGTTTAAGTCATGATGTGACCCAACAGTTTTTGGAGATCAATAATAAGTTTCAGCTTGCTAAAACTCATGGCCACAGACAACGATCGGTTTAACTGC